AAGCTCTTTGTTTCACATAAGCACTTGGAGGCTCAGCCTTAGATCCCAGAGCTGTTGGTAAATGACTTTCACCCCATTTCTTTGGTAGACAGGATTTGTACTGGAGCTGATGTTTGAGGGATGCTCCCAGCCCCACAGCTGAAGTGGAGGAGGGGAGGAGCACATTTTCTTTCTCAGTCATTTACATTTTCAATTTTACTTAAACCTGGTGGCACCTTAGAACAACCTGGAGAATTTGAGAAAAAATGGCTTGGGCATCACTCCTAGAAGTTCTCATCCAGTGAGTCTGGGGTGGGACCTTGGTACCTGTATTGTTTATTTCTCTTCAGTTTCCCAGGTTCTGTTTATATCCAGGATTGAAAACTACTAGACCTAGCAGGTACTATTTGTGATTTTTAAAATAAAGTTAGAGGTATTTGTTTGTCATGTGACTCTGAAATCATGTTCTGTGTTAAAGTGTACATGAATGGAGCAGCAACTAAGGCTCAGGTTATACCCTTAGGCAAATTTTTTGTAACCTCCTTGAGTCTGGTTTTGTCATCTGTAAAACAGAATTAATGATAACATCTACCTCACAATTTTTCAAGGATAAGTGATAACAATGCATAAAAAATAGTATAGTCTCTGGCATATCACAGAAAATAACTGTTATTACTTACTAACATGTGGCATGTCATTATAGGATGTGACTTTGGAATCAACCAACTTCTGTCTCAGTCCTTACTCTAACTTTCCCGTCCTTGGACTTCTAGTGAAACACTTAATTTCTCTGAACCTCTGGCCTCTTAACTGTAAACACAGGGATAGATGGGTACAGTTACTAATATGGAGAGATGCTTAAGGCAAGGAGTTGCTTAGTAAGCCTTTCTGTCACCTTCCTTTCATTCTACTTTCTTAAAATATCACAGGGAAACGGATATGTTATAATTTCCAGAACATCATGACTTTGGTGTGGCCCTGCTTGGTTGATATATTATTAAAATGCTCTTTGTGGCCATCACAAGCTGTCGTGGGCATGTTCCTTGGATCCCTAAGGAAGTGGCTATGTATCCACACTGCAGCAAGAGTTCACACACAGAACCGTGGCTCCTTACGCATCCCACCCCCGTAGCTGGCTCTGCGTGTTGGTTTTTGTAACACTGAACTCATGATCACTTTGTAATTCTCAAGCCCATGAACTGGCTGGGATTCTGTTCTTTTAATCTTTATCAAGCTTCGGTTGAGTTGTAGGTTTACCCTGGGGCTTAAGAAGGACCCCCCTACACCTCTTAGAAATCTGCTAGGCAGCTTAATAGATCACAGCCTACTGTTTTATTTTACAGTTTCTTAACATATGTGCCCACCAGTTACTTGTGAAGCTTTTCAGATTTCTAGGTCCGTAAGAAATTCAGGTATATTATTCCACTGTTTCATCTTCATATTCTATGTGATCACCCGAAATGGGAAAAGAGACAGTGGCTGAAGATGCCAGAAAGTTGTGTAATGAAACAAATGCTTGCATTATTGATAAATCTGGCAGTTCTTGTTGGTTCACATTAGTAGCAGGATACATTATACTTCTGTGCCACTTGAAATGATCCAGTCTTTCTCCTTTATTTTTCCCACTTAGTACCCTAAGTAAGTGACTCTAAGGATAGTATTAAGGGATCTCCTTTAAAAGCTGCTGAAACATGTGCCTTACATCTGTTACATTGTTTAGCAAGATATTTTTAGCAACTCTGGAATGAGTTCTATGGTTGGTTCAGACCCAGCTTCATGGACTATTATAGTTTAATTTTAAGGGACACCCAACTTTAAAAAAAAAGGTAATACATGGTTGCTAATCAATTTTCTTTTTGAATTATATCACTATTTTTATGGAAATTCGTTTGTGAATATTAAAGGACTGCAGTTTTCTAATAAATGTTTAAAATATGAAGTTTCCCTGGAATCATATGGAGAATCATTTTCCACGGCTCATTAAAATGGAAAGGAGAATAAATAAATTTGAATTAAAATCTATTTCCGTTCATGTTGTTGGTATTCTTCTCATTGGGATGTATATGTCTTTTATGAAAGAATCAATGCACCCAAATTAAGTAGTTCTAAGCAGTTGGAAGAGAAAAAAGGAATCATCATCTTGTCTGCATGTTCTTGTAATGTGGCATTATGGTGAGCCTTTTAGGAGAGGACACTTGGCTTTGATGGACTAGCGGTCCAACATTATTGAGCATATTGATAAGACAGACCATCAAGATGAAGAAATAATTTATGGCTTTAAAGTAGATTCTGTGTTTTCTAATAAAGGAGTCCTATAAATTAGGGATGATTTTTTGGCCTTGTGTCTGTTTATGGAAGCTCCCACAGTGCCTGACCAGGAGCTTAGTAGGTGCTTCATAAATATGAAATGAGTAGAAAGCAAGTTGCTACAGGCATGGTAAGACAACACCTTACCATGGTGTTGTCTTGGACTCCTGAGAGGAGAAAATCAGGGGACTCAATGATGGGGTGAAAACTGCTGAATAGTAGTATTGAAGGAAAGAAAATTAACCAGAGGGAAGGGTACATTTCCTGTGGTGTCCTTGTGGTGCTCTGGTAGGTAAACGCAGGACAGCAACCCTGCCCCGAAGGTAGTTTAGAGCACCTGTCTTGGTCCATGGTGCTTCTCTCCTGAAATTAAATAACAGTTCTTTCCCAGTACCTGTTAAAAATGAAGTGCTGGGTGAGATGATCCCTGTTATTCGTTTCCTTAAATCTGTGGTCCATGCTATTTTTGGTCAATACTGAAATGGTCTGTGCAGATGTACAGAGTTAGGAGAGTTATTTTAAGAGGTGAGTACTTTACTGAGATCCACAAAAAGCTTTGTGGCTTCCTCTGAGCAGAGTGAACAAGTTTGAGAACTGCTATCCTACAGTGTTAATGAAACGCAGCTCCCCCTGGGGCCTATGCCGTGAGGGTTTCACAGGAGTTTGACAACAAATCTAGGAATTGTGTCCTATAAAAGACAGTTCTTACTATTTTGCTCTTGTCCTTTCCCTGGGGGGTAGGAGCTTATCTAACAGTGTTATCTATTCTATAGAAGGATCCCATTGCTTTATCTACTCAGCTTACCAGTCTTTTGAAACGAGCCCTCTGTGGGGGAAGTTTCTGTTAAGTGGGATTGTGTGGGTGTAACACTAGTGTGGAGATGGTAGATTTAGGGTGGCAGTGGACAGAAAGACAAGTGGTTTGTTTTCTTTTGTGAAAATGGCTCTGCCCAGTTTTTTAGAATGTTTCTATCTAATAGCTTTCTCTTGAACTAGATCATGTGAAGTATTTACCTGGGGGGGGGGTGTTTGTTTTAGCTGAATCTGGCATTTAGATGAGTAATAAAGATGGTTGATTCTGGTCTGCCATATTGATTTTTTACAATTCTTCCTATGAGGTGGAAAAATAATTTATTATGATGATTGATCTTCATATTATCAATCTGGTGCATATGCAAGTTTTAAGTTGCTCGGTATTTCAATAAGGGAATTCACTGCATAGGCTTGGATGACAGAAGTTCAGGAAAGGCCAGCTAGGAGTGTGTCTAGACTAGCAAAGAAGGATGAGATTTAAAAATGGGCTGTCTCCCTTAAAAAATTTATTTTCTTTAAAGTAAGTTGGCAAATCTTTAACAGAATATCAATTGACATTTCTGGATAAAGAATTTATGACTCTAATTTGAGTTTAATTAAAAGATGAATAGAGTAACTGCTATATGGAATGAAGACAAGGCACAATGAAAATTCTCCTTTTTAGGCCAAACTTTTTTTAAAAGGTTCAGAAGCCGGAAGTGATGACTGGTAGGGTTTGTTTCATTAACTTAGTAAATTATTCTAAGAAGTGGAGGCAGTAGGCTAAAAACTATGGGATTGCAAAAGACAACAAGGCTTTGAAAGGAGGTGTAAAGATCTTTTAAACATAGGTTGAAAGTTCAGTAAGTGTTAGTTTCTCTGTTCTTTTTCCAGTACCTCAATGGGAAGTGATAATAGTTTTCCATTGTGCTTAAAGCACATGTGGGTGATGGTGCTGCTTTCTAGATTATTGGGTAGGAAAAATTAGCTCCCACAACTCAAACCATTCAGCAAGTACTTAGTGGAAGTATAATAGCTAAGTAAATGAATATAAAAAGAAACATCTCTATACAAGTTGTGTGCTGTATGCTGTGAAAGCAAAGCAATAGAAGCTACAGCGCTCGCTAAAGAAATGTATGGTTTCCTGGAGGTGAATGCACACACAGAAAAATAGGCACTGCCACAAGAATAACATCAACATCAGGAGCTCCAAACAGTAACAAATCCCGGTAGGGGGAGCTTCACCCGGGAGGTGACTGCACAAATCTGGCCTGAGTGGCATTGGGTGAAGTGTCAAGGAAGGTAGTGGGTTTGAACATGGAGAATGGTGTGACCCAAGGCAAGGATACAAGTGGCAGGCTCTTCTAACGAACAGATTTTGCTCAGTTGGAGGAGCTTGTAGGGATCTGGAGAGAGAATTCTAGAAATCCATTGGATGTAGGCCACAGAGGGGCTGGGGAGCTTGGGTTAACTTGCATAATATGGGATCTGTTCCAAGCAGGAGAGGTTTCAGGAGATTTGCTTAGCTGAGATTGGCAGATGGCTCAGAGGATGTGGTTTGTTTGGGTGCAGGGACACCCAAGAGAAGCTGAAGCAGCAGTTGAGGTAGCAAGCAGTGCTTTAGGGGCTGAGTGAGAGTGGTGAAAGTGGAAAGGAAAGGAGAAGTGGAATCCAAATCATATTAAGAATGAAGTGTCAAGCGCAAAATCCCAGCCTTTCCATTGTGCTTTTGCTGGTTGCACGCTATAGATTGGGAGCTGTCCCCATGGAGGGTGGAGTGCCCCGTGCTGGTGCTGCCTGCCGACCTGGTCGTTGCCCTCAGTGAGGAGGAGCTTATGTGCACAGCCCAGACTTGAGACTCCCACTCAGTTTTCAGCTTGATTCTGATTTCCTTTTTTTTTTTTTTTTTTTTTTATAGACTCTGTCAAGAAGAATTTCCAACCCATACCTTGAACATACTCCTTCCCAGGTATGATTTTTTTTTCCTCTCTGTCTCTCTTTACTGAATTTTCTCTAACAAATGTTCACAAATCCTGGTATAGAATCCTCAGGCTGTAGCTTTTGCCCCTGCTCCTTACAGAGATTCACAGGAATGCTGCCATGATCACACTGTCTCACCTGCCGAGGACGACACAACCAAGAGGTTTGGGATGTTTTGGTCATTGTATCATCATTCAAGATGTTCACAACAAATATATATATCTATATGTCTCCATTTCCACATCTTTTATATGACTGTTGTCAGTATGGCAGAGTAAATATTTAGTACATTATTCAAATTTTCTTATTGATAGAAACACCATTAGGGGATAGCTTACACTAAAACTTTGTGTAAGAGGACGTGTATATTCACAATTGTCTATTAGAGGACTATTCCCTTTGTGCTCAATGATAAGAACATGTGTGTAAATCTACACTGTATTGCAGTAAAACAAATCAGTCAACAGACATTTATGTTCTTTAGAATGACAGCAGACTGAGATTTCTGAAGGCAAAGACCTTCTTATGATGTTGCCCACTGTATGCCCAGCATCTAAAAAAGACCTGGCACATGGCAACTGCTCATTAAATGCCTCTTGAATGACTGAGGGACTCCTGAAGGATTTTAGGACCAGTCAGACATCAGCTGACTCACACTTCTTCCTTTGTAATGCTTTCTGTCATCGGCTTGTTCAAGCTTTGATTCTTTAAAAAAAAAAAAGGTTTTAACAATGTTAAAAGTAAATCATTTCCAGCCAGGCATGGTGGCATGCACCTTTAATCCCAGCACTAGGGAGGCTGAGGCAGGAGGATCACAACAAATTTTAGGCCAGCCTCAGCTACACAGTGAGTTCAAGACCAGCATGAACTGCATTGTGAAACTCTGTCTCAAAAAATAAAAAAAAAAGGATAAAAATAAATAATTTCCTGCCCTTTTCACTTTCTCATCATGTTGTATTTAGGTGACAACATTGGGTCAATTTAAAAAGTATAAAGTTGGGGTTGACAGGTTCCCCATCAAATCATGTTATATTATCAATGTGTTTTCTCTAAATAAAGATAGCAAAGAACTGACGCAATAAATAGCACAGGGTAGAGCACGTGTCTAGCACGCACAAGGCCCTGGGTTCAAACCCCAGCATTGCAGAACAAAACAAAACAGCTCAGTATGTATTAATGTTTACCAGTGTTTATCTTTTGGAGGCTGTTCATTTTTCTGTAGCCTCCTCTGCTTATGAGACATCATTGTGCTTTGGAGGAAGAAGCAATTAGGAGACAGTTTTACACAAAAGGACCTAGACTTCTCTATTGCCACAGAGTACTCTGCGTCATTCTCCAAGAATCAAGAAACTCATAGGGGAGAATTAGAAGATTAAAAAAAGAAATTCAATGAAATTTTTATCTGATAGATGGAACCGTGAAGTACGATCAATGAAACTAAATAGCTTGGAATTAACTATGAACTTAGCAGTTAAGCGAAGCTCTCTAGCAAATCAGCCTGCTGTCAAATGTGTCATGGTTCAAGATGTTCACTAAAGAGGGAAAAAATTATTTGCACATTTCCCAAGACCTTTATATGAACACATTATCAATAGGGTAGAATTAGTATACAGTATCAATACACTCTTCAGTTTGCTACAGTCATAGAAAGACTGTTTTTTTTTTTTTTGAGATAGGGTCTCACTACTGTGTAGTACAAACTGGTCTTGAGTTTATTATGTAGATCAAGCTGGCCTCGAACTTGAGGCAATCCTCCTGCCTCAGTGTCCTGAGCACTGAGATTGTAGGTGTGTTCCACCATGCCTGGCAAAAATTGATATAGATCTTTTTTTGTTGGGGGGAGGTGAGGCAGTGACTTGCTCTGTAGTCCAGGATGGCCTTGAACTCACCATGTAGTCTAGGATGGTTTTGAACTCACAGGGGTCCTCCTGCCTCAGCCTCCCAAGCACTGGGATTATAGGCATGTGCCACCACACCTGGCTGTATTTTTTAAATAGTCTATTTCATATTGAAAACTTTATGTTTTAAAAGATTATTTATAATTATAGTTTAAGTAAAGCACTTTTGCATTTGGAAAACAATTATTATAGCTTAATAGTATAAGTGTACCAGTACTAAAGTAAAATAAGGTTATTATCTAGGTCTGTAGTTACATGAGCTAGAATGCCATCTCAAGCTTAGGGATTTGGTTGTGATTTTTATATATAGCGTGACATCAGGAGCTCACAAATTGTCATGTTTTTGTTCTACCTTTACAGTGTTCTACATTTACTTCTGTCTTTTCTGTTTAGATTTATGGAGAGAATTCTTCTTGTGCGGGAAGAGCATTGAGGAATATTATTATTGTTCAGGCAGCTGACCTGGTAAAGGACAGAGTGAACCTCAAGGGGTTTTACAGGTAACGCAGTTTCCTAACATCTTGTCAAAAATCCTCCTTCAGGGGAAAAGAACAGAAATTGTCTTAAAATTGTGACCTTGATCAGAGAGAGATGGACCGTCTCGGTGTTGGCAGTGGCAGGCTGGGGTGTGTCTGTTGGGGATTCTGGCGGTGACTTTCCTTTTGTTCAGTTTACTCCCTGTGGGGCTTGTGGTTCTGAAGTTAGGGTATGGCACCCCAACCACGCGCTGGCTTCTTCTCTGCTTCCCCTGAGATGTGATATTTTATGTGCAGTATTTTCCCGGTGTGTGCTACACTGGCAACTTCCAAAACTATAGATCCTCTCTTTAGGGACTTTACGAAGGTTCCATGAGGACTTTCAGGGGCACCTTCTAGGGTGCACTGCAGCGTGGGGAGAGGCAGGGTGGTGAAGACAGCAGTTGGCTGCCTGGGATAGCGAAGAAAGCAGAGATGCAGTACAGTAAATGAGTGAGTTCCTGGCCGGTTTGAAAGCACAGGTGGACTGATAGTGGTTACTTAGAAAATCTGAAGCACTGTTTCATTCTATGGAACAATTTAAAGAAAAAGCAAGTCAGGTGTGAAGTGCATGCCTATAATCCCAGCACTCAGGAGGCTGAGGCAGGAGGATTACTGTGAGTTTGAGGTCAGCCTGGGCTACATAGTGAATTTCAGGCCAGCCTGAACTACATAGCAAGACCCTGCCTCAAAAATAAAAAGTAAATTGTCAGCTTTTGATTTTTGCCAAGATACTAAGCTACACTAAAAAAAATTACAAAAGAAAACAAAAGAAAAAAAACACTATTCTTTATTATCACTCTGCTTTTTTAAAGCAGTACCCTTGTAGTAACAAAGAGTAGAACTACTACTCAGAATAAATGACACCAAAAAATTGGAAATATTCTCAGAATAAAGGATGGTCCCTTAAATTAAATAAATTTAGCTTTATGAAAAATTTATTATAATATTTATTTTCTCCATTGGCTACAAATGGAAAAATTTTCATTATGGCCTGGATTCTGGGAATGATGATTCCCAGACTTTTGGAGTAAAAAGACTAAGGCTTCCTTTCTATTAAGGCATAGTGAGTATACAATAACAGTGTGCATGGCTTGATGAGTTTCACTTATAACACACCTGTCTCATCATTATCTGTGTAACCTGTCATGACATAGAGGATTTTCATGCCCCAGAAATTTCTTCCATACCTCTTAATAGTTGATAACAACCCTTGTGAGCAAGTATTTTTTGACATCAAAAAACTAGGCAGAATCTGTATTCTTTTTTTTTTTTTGGTCTTTTTCAGACAGGGTCTTGCTATGCAGTTCAGGCTGGCCTTGAGCTCACTTTGTAGCCCAGGCTGGTCTCTAACTTGCAACGATCCTCCTGCCTCAGCCTCCCGAGTGCTGGGATGACAGGCACGTGCCACTACAACCATCTTAGAATCTGTATTCTTCAGAGCCATTAATTAAGCCATTAATTAAATACAAAGTGTGAGGAAGAGCCACAATGATTTAACACTTTAAGATCTATTCAATTAATTAATCACACAAGCCTTTTCGGCAGTTTTAAAAAGATATGCTGTGGATTAGACATTATCAGTCTGTCTAGAGACAGTGCTCCAGTATCCACGCTTCCTCCCCTGAGGGATTCACAGCCCTGGGCTAAGATCCATTGGGACAGAGCGCAGAGCCTAGGCAGGGAGTAGGAGGGGCTTGCTGGTCAGACTACTTTTGAGTCTCTTCCTTTTCTTTTCTTAAAATAGGCGATAGCAGCAACTTTAGACACACCCAAGTATTTAAAAACATATGTGTAAGTGTTTGGGTCTCCTTGCTTATAGGATTCATTTTAGTCACCACATAAGGTCCATCGTTATTAGTACTTTTGTGTTTATTGTAGTCTCTGAGGATAGAGACAGAAAAGAGAATTGTGAGATAGGTGTTAATCAGAGAAAGAACCATCTACGCTCAAAGCCAGAACATACTTAGGGTTCGGTGGGAGCAAAGTGAGGAGAGAGTATGTTTTGCTGTGATCAGGGCAGCGCTCCTTTTCTAATCTGGGTCCTGGGTTTAGCTGTCTAGTTAGCATCCTAGTTAGCTGGGTTTAGCATCCTAGTTAGCTGTCTAGGATGGGTCATTTTCATTTATCTTGTAGTAAATGGAGGCAAAGTATTCCCCATACACTGCCACATGAGAACTCACTTTCCAAACTGAAAACTTTCCTATTCGTGTGGCACTACAGGAAGTTATGCTGGTTTGAGAATTTTGTACAAAAATGTCGCTAAATACCATCGCGCTGTTAATGTTTGATGCTAGTACCTGCATCACCTGAATTAATTGCTAAAATTATAATGGGAGACAGGAGGCAGCCAAGAATAAACACATTTTCCACTCCAAAGATTGGTTAAATCAACGTGTTATAGCAATCACATGGGCTTTGTAGCTCATCACCTCCCTATCACAGCACTGCTGCCCGGTTCTGCAGCATAGCTAGTTCTGCATGTACTCAGAGCAGTTTCTGCATTGAGAACAGACTGCAAATACTCCATAGGTCAGGACGCTATTGGTATTCAAATTGCTCTTTGTCACTGCTCATCCCTTGTCCGGTGGATGTAGCTACCCTAACTGGATTGCTGCAGATGTAGTCAGCAAGTCCAGGGACCAGGAGTTTAATGTTCACTTTAGTGATATTAATGATAGTTTCTCACTACACTAATGTGTCCCCTGGTGCAGACGGATGGTTGAAAGTGATTTAAAACATAACTTGATAATATTAGGGAGGGGTGGAAGGAGATCATGTGTAACTGAAAGAGTAGCTTGTCTGAGAGTAGGTCCGGTTATTCTTTAAGGTTGTCATGGAAATACTGTGTACTAGCATATTGATTCAAAGTCCTTGCCTCCCCCCCCGAAAAAACCCAGGGTGAGCCCTTCCCAATGACAAGGCAGAGCTGGAAGATTAGGACTCTGTTCCTCAGTATCACCTGGGGAATCTCAGTTCTCACTCAACCCTGCTGCATCTGTCTATATTTTAACAATACCCTGGGGTGACTCCTCAGTGTGATTTTTGAGAATTCCTGGTCTGTGAAACTTCTTGCCCATCACCTGTGAACAAACAAGCAGGTGTTTCCACACAGCTACCCTTTGCAGCTTGGCAATCTGGTCTGTTTAGTAAATTTTATATCGTATGTACATTTTTCAGGTGATGTCAGGCACCCAGAGCACCACACAGGGGGTTACACTGTTTAGAGAATAGGCATTAAATTGTTACAGAGTTTAATCTGTGGGATAAAACTGTGTTCAAAGCCTGAGGGGATGCTGGCTAATTGAGGGGTGTTGAGGAATTAGTTAATTAACACTTTGAATCTTTAACATGAAAGGTGTCCTATAGAATTAGAAGCTAACATTGATTGTTTGGTTTCATTGCCTGTTTTGTTGTCATCTGTTTCATTTTGTTTTAAAACATTCATCTATTTGACTGTTACTGTTGTCTGCATGCTAACCTCCAGGTGACTAGGTCTGAAATTGGCTTGTCTTAGAGCATCTTTCAAAGAGCAATACTTCACCAGAAAAAGTGCTTTGTTAAAAGCTAGAATATTTGATCAAATATCTCAGCAGAAAGGTCCACTACCATATTTTCTCTCACCCCAGAAAATGGAGAGCCTCATGGAATTCTTTTATTATCCATTACTGTGTAATTTCAAAGTATTCATGCTTGTATCAATCACAAGAGATAGATACAAACAAATATTAACATCCTTCAATACTATTGAGTAAAGATGGCCATTATATGGTATCAGTCTTCTAACACTTCAGTGATCTTTTCTCATAAGAGAGGATAGAATACAATGACATTTCTGCAAGCCAAAAAATATATTTGAGAATGTTTTCTTTTATTTTTCCTTTGAAAGCAACACAGATGGGAAAGTAGGTATGAAGATACTGCTTGTAATATCCAGACTGGCACCATAATTGTATATTTTAAGACAGATTACAGGGATGATTTGTGTGTGTGTTTAGTAGGGTGGATATCTGGATATCCACACATATCTGGATTTTGTGGGTTTATGATCTGCTTAACTAGATTGCCTCAGATTATATTAGAAAGATGAACAATCAAATTTATTGTTCCTTGAAACAAATTTTAGTGTTTAATCTTTGAAGACTGGCAAACAAAACTTCATACTGCCTTGAATGGTCTTGTTTTGTTTTTGATTTTGTTTTTGTCTGTTTGTTTTTTGAGACAGGATCTCATTCTGTAGTCCAGGGTGGCCTTGAACTCACAGTGACCCTCCTGCCTCAGGCTCCCAAATGCTGGGATTACAGGAGTATGCCACTATTCCTAGCAAAGGTTCCCAATTTTGTGTAATCTTCTTTGAGTTGTTTTGTTCCCAAAGGAACTAGATAAAAACCTATAAACGGTTGAATCAAAATTTATCACCATCAACTTGATGTGTGTGGCTTACCAACACAGAAACATTAAAGGAATGCTAAATGTATTCCTTCATTCATTCAAACGAATTACAGTTCAAGGACTCACTGTGGGGCCTGGACTGTTCTAATAGTTATGCTTTCCTGCTTCCCTAAAAATTATTTGGTAGTGGCAAAAATGAGTAGTGTTCATTTAGAAAGATATATGAGTACTACCTATAGGTCACAAGAGTTTGATTCCTAATTTTTCCCAAGGAAGTGATAGTGAAACAATCTGAAAGGTAAAACTGGACATGGTGGTGCACACCTATAATCCCAGCACTTGGGAGGCTGAGGCAGGAGAATCTTGTGAGTTCAAGGCCAGCCTGGGCTACAAAGTGAGCTCAAGGCCAGCCTGAACTGCATAGTGAGACCCTGTCTCAAAAAAGACAAAAATAAACATAAAAGTAAATGAAAGGCAAATAAGTTATGACATTTATTTTTGGCTTCCTTGTTTTAAAACACAAGCCCATGAAATGGGTGGTATATAATGTTAATTTTTTGGCAAAGGTGTCAGCAGTGTCTTATTGTGAATGGCTTTGTTTTTGTCCAGGAGAAGCTGTGTTGGGTCAGAGCTGGTCGACTGGCTTCTAGAGCACTGTCCTTTTGTTCCGTGCAGAGCTATGGCCATAGGGGTCTGGCAGCTCCTTTTGGACATGGGGATTATGTCATCAGGTTAGTGTCATGTGTCGCAAAGACACAGCATCATTGTTTTATCACAGTGTTATGCCAAGATACACTTGGTTTTCTAGGGGATATTATAAACTGGATGGAAATTGCTTTTGAAGGTAAACGCTTGCATTCTTTCTTATGTTCTAAGTAAAAATGACAGGTCATCTTTGGTAGTCACTTGTTTCTTAAATGTTTTGAAAAAATAATTAGGTACTTGTTGATTTTTAGACTAAGACCTGTAAAAGTCTTTCCCTTAACCTTCCTCCTGTTTCTACTTAAAATATGCTCATAAACTTTTTTTTTAATCAGTGACAGCTTTAGTTGCTCTAAATGTGTATTTATCTTCCTGCACTAGAGTAATCATCAGAAACTGCTTTTCTGAGCGGGATGTGTATGCCATTTTAATTGAATCAGTAATCATGAACACTTAGAGATGTGACCTATGAAGGTTTAGCTGTTTAAATGGGACAGAAAAATACTGTAGATGTTAAGGAGAAACTAAAATAGGCGGCAATATCTCTTTCCTTAGTTGAGCGCAGGGAATTGAAGGATTAGCAGCCAAGCAATCTGGTTTCTTTATTTAGCTCAATCTCTCAGGTGCTGGTTGCTTATGGAGAAGCCCCTTTCTTCTCACTAATGAATATTGAGGACGTAACCCCAGTGCCATGGCAAAAGAACGATACAGATGAGAATGTGGTTGTAATCTTCTTAGACAGCAATACCTAGCTTCTAATACTCTTATGTAGGAAATCAGTTAATTACTTGTGAGGAATGGAGATATTATTAGCTTTATTTGCTGGGTCCAGGCTTTTGGTTAGCAGTGTTTTATGCTAATGCTTTTTGGCAAAATTTTCAACTTTTGATTCCTTTAAAACAGGGTTTTCAAACCTTGGCAGCACTGACATTTTGGATGGGACAGTTCGTGGTTTCTGGGGGCTATCCTGTACATTATAGGATTTTTCGTAGCACCTTTTTCTTCTGCCTTCGGGATGTCAGTGTGTCTGCACATACATACACACACACACCAGTTAGGCCTCTTAATGTCACCAAATGTGCCCTCAGGGGGCATAGTCACTCTTAGTTGAGATCCACTACTTGCTAAACTTACTGTCATGTTCTATTTGTATATCACCAAAGAAATGAAATATATTAGCTCGCTTTGAGACACTAAAAAGCACTTTTTTACTATCTTTTTTGAATTGACACTGATTACATTGGCATTTATTGGTGCAGCAGAAAAATTATAAAATATGTGTGAATATGCTGGCCAAAACTTCAAGTAGTAAGAATAGGTTAGCCAGTAAATCCTTTTAAATTCAGTGAGATTGTAAGCATAAGTGAGGTTAGAATGTATAAGTATAGTCCTACTTCTGGCTTCTCCTGTATAATTATTAGAGCTTTCAATATATTATTTGATTTATGACTCCCTAAACAATATATTTAATAATAATCCACACCTTTCTGTTTTTTGTTTCCAACAGTGGACCAACATCTCTACTTTCAAGATAATTATGTTTTCTATCAGTTTTCATCTGATGAGTGCAGCTACTTGTACTGTGAATTTGAGAGAGAAGAAGAATGGCAGAATGGTGTCAAACTTCTGCTGCAGCTTGTGCCTCTCATTCCTGCCAGGGCTGGCATCTGTGAGCTGTAAGTAGATGCTGTCTGTGCGTAGTTAGATTATTCTTACTTGCAGACGACATCTTGTGTCAGGCAACTGTTGTTTTACTACCTTCTTCAAGAGGTGGATGAGCTATTCCCATTTTTCACATGCAAGTTCGGGAAGAGAAAATAAATTTGTGAAGATTAAATCCAGCTCCTAAAAAACTGAACTGGTGCGCAAATCCCAGACATCCTTGTCTCATCAGCTGCACCACACTGCTTCTGATTTTCCATACCTATAAGAGTAGACGATCTAAATTAGGAATTAACATATGATTGGGCTTAAGTTGGAATGAAATAGTAACTCACATCTTATCCACTATCCAAGTCGTGACTGCTAAGGAAGATCCAACAGACCTTCCTGAAAATAATGTAGAAGCAACATTTGGCAAATTAAAATATGTGAATCATTATCACATGAAGACACTGAATCACTATAAGAATAAAATTAATCAGAGGAGGTTTGGGAACAGGTCTTGCGTCATGATAAGGAGATTCTGACATGCCTTTATTGATGCTGATAATGACAAGTTTATTTCTGATACAGGAGTTAAAAATCAAATTTCAGTTGAAAACTTTTATATAGGTGGAACATCTCAGGTTTTAGAATACTTTCCCTGATTGTTGACTCTTTCAGTTGTGTGGTATTAGTAGGTCACGTAGAATTGTCCTCCTTCCTTAGGTAAGAAAGTAAGTTCAGAGAGAAACATCTACCTAACTGTAACAGAGACAGGTTACTCTTAAAGTGACAATATTGAATAGTTAATACAGTTGAGTATATTATATCATCTATTTTTAGCAAAAGGGAAGTTTTAGAATATGTATGAGACACTGTATTAATAGAAAGATTGATTGCACAGAATATATTTTATGTGAGGTACTATGCTAAATAAATGCCTTATTTCCCTTTCAGAATTCTGTACGACAGGAATTACTTACCCCTATTTTGTAAGTGAGGAGACTGAGGGACAGAGGTCAGGTACCCTGTTCAGGGTCACACAAGTAGCAAGAGAGTCTTAGTGTTTGAATCTGTGTCCATCTAGTTCTGACACCTCTGCTCTTATCATCGGCTGTGGTGCGCCCTCACAAGTTATGGGGGTCATTCTGGCATCTCCTTCTGAGGAATTATAAACAAAAGCTGTAAAAGTGTTAGGCTGAGCTGTGAAATTGTTATGGATTTCCCACAACCACTGTTTACAGAGGGGCTCCCAGTGGTAAAACAAAATCCAAATGTTATTCAATCAGGCTGAGTATGGGAAATGTTCCTTATTGTAATCCAAGCTTAATACAGGTCAGAAACGTCCTAAGAAATGTCAAAGAGCATTTAAGTAAACTCTAACGAGCTTTCTGCAATGCCATGGCCTGCCCTTAAACTACAGTGGCTGTGACTGGTTTGACTCTAAAGGACTGGCATACTCCAGCGGCTCTTCTCACCCATTTCCTGTCCTGCACACAGGTGGAGGTGTGTGCATCCCCACACACGCCCAGATCAACAGGGGCAGGAGAGCAGTGGAGATAACTGTGCAGACAGTCATGATTAATCCTCCCTCCCCCGACCCAGACGCAAGCTGGAATGCTAGTGAGGGAAATGACCTTCCTATAAACCCTCAACTATTCTAATTTCTGAAAATGAAAACAGTTTTAAAATTGGAGCCCTAATATTAATTCCAGATTACCTGCAGTGCTTTGTCACACTGATCACTATAAATACAAGTGTCAAGCTCTCAAGTTGAGATGCACTATAGCATGCTGTGTTTACCAGCAACATTTTTTCCTCTTGGTGTGAACAAGTGCTTTTGCGAGTGATCACCGACTCCCACAGATAAGTGGTCACTGGGGCCCAAGGGACCTGCCTGTGCCATACTATGGGCACTAAGTGTAGAAAGAAAAATTACTGACCCATTGCAAGTCTCTTCTGAAGAGAGGGGGATATCTTTTTGTTTTCCTATACTAGAATTATAAGCCAGCTCCTATGCTATTATAAAACGTCGTGACTGGCTTTGACTCTTTGAAAAGCTGAGCTTTGAGTTACCCAGACTAACAGCCAGTGAAACTTAGACGCCCAGAGATATTGACCTCTTTCAGAGATACTGACCTCTTTCAGTTCCATTGTCAAAGCCCTTTCCAGAGTACCATGCATCTGTCCCATCAGAACTCCTGCTCTAACCTGGCAGTCTCTGCCTTTTTTAGCCTCCAGCCCATGCCAGGTATTCCCCGCTGCCTGTGGAATGCTTCTGTTCTCTCCTCTGTCTCCTTCTCCTTGTCCTTCTTTTTAAAAATCTTGCTAGTTCAGTTCTACCCAACTCTCAGCCAGGAACCCAAATCCTACCTCATGTCCAGTCTGCATTGATCTTGCTTTTGATAACTTCCTGCTCTTTGTTTGTATTTTTTAGTAAATCCCTCATTCTATGTCCTCTTTAGCCCTGTGTTGTTTCATTTTTATTCATTCTAGTAAAATGCCCTTTGATGTCCTCTTGATTCTTGTCTTCTCCATTTATGAGGTGAAAGCGCCTATCTTGTGGACCTTTTAGCAACCTTTTTGGTATTTGAAAGCTATTACAGTCCACCTATGTAGATCCGCATTACATCCTTCTAATTATCCATCTTCTCTGTAAGTGTCTTTAAAATAATGGAAGAAAACCACTTAATGTCTCAGTAAAGAGAATTCTGTTCTGTATAAATGTATTTCTAAAAAGAGAAGCATAATGAAGATTTGTTCTTTTAAAACGGAATGTTTAAAGCAGGAGGGGGAAGGAAGCTGCTACTAATTTTTTTGTTTTGAGTGGGGAAAGGGAGAGCATTGATGAAGAATGATGAAGTAACAGCAAGAGGTAACAGCATAGAGGGGAAAGTAGCCTAATAATTCCTGCAGGACTCCTAAGACGTTTCTCCCTATCAGTAACTTGCTAGAGAATTGCAGCTGTGGGGAAGCTTGACTCTTGGAACTCAGCTGTCATTACCACAACTCCCCAGGGGCTGGGGATGGGCCCTGGGAACAGTCTGTGAAGCTCGGGTGCATGAAACTCTAACCAACAACCAAGTGGTGGACACTTTCATCATTATTCAAGGACTTGCAGAGAATTATTAAAATTTGACTCAGCAACAGAGAATTACTAAAATTTGACTCAGATAGTAAAGAAGAATGTAGCCTCCTTGTCTTTTGCTAAGAGATCTGATGTTGATTGTCTAGATGAGTCCCCATCCTGTTGGGAGCCAGAGAAGAGGAAAAGAAATCTCACAGTCCTAGCCTAATGCAGTGACATTTTTGTAATATAATAATTTTTTTTTAAAAATTTATTTAAAAGAGTAAAAGAAGGATAACATAGTAATAGGGGGATTTACTGAATTACAGACAAAGTGGTAGGACATTATCAATGGTTGTTATTTTACCTCTTGGTATCTTCAAGATAGTTTCTCAGGAAAACAAATAGACAATAATGAGTTATAGACAAAAATGGTAGGAAATTATCAATGGTTGTTGTACTATACTTTGGTTTCTTCAAACTGGTTTCTAGGGAAAACAAATAGAGCTATACATGAGTGATCAATTAAATAATCATTAATATGCTCAATGGTTGTTGTTGAAAACACATAGTAATAAACATACATCCATTTACAAAATAGCATAGGAACAATAGAAATATTACAGCCTTATGGACAGATTGGTAGGAAATTATCAGTGGCTGCTGTAATACATGGTGGTATCTTCAAAGTGGTTTCTCAGGAAAACAGAGATATGCAAGAAAGGTCTAACAAGTAGTTACAGCCTAAGGATTGTGAAAAATAGCGGATTACCTCCTCATCAGTGACTCTTTTCACTGAGATGTGATGGCTGGAAGGAAGGCCAGGATTGAAAAGAAGGACTGAGAGACTAGCATCAGGGTCCAGCAATAGGCTGTTTACTTTTTCCTCTATAGTCATGATTACGTGGAGCTCTTCCTTGAAGATAACGGTCTGGCCAGAGGGAGAAGGCAGAGTAGGCCCTGGGCCCCTTCATTCCTGTTGGACCAGCTGATTGGGGGATCTGAGCTCTGGGGCCTTCGCATCACAGGGCAGTCCAAACTCTAGTGGTCACCTTTACAGTCAGGGCATGGCCCAGGGGGCTTCTTAGGGCAGTCCCTCTTGAGATGGCCTGGCTTTTGACAGTGGTAGCAGATGAATGTAGTCAACGAGTTCTTCTTGGGGCCCCGAGAATCAGACTCAGGGTCTGTTTCTCTTAGTGCTGCAACAAAGGCAGCTGTTTTTTCTCGGTCTCTTTGTTTTCTCTCCTTGGCCTCCTCCTCCTCATGGAGTATAAAATACTGTATAAAATACTGAGGAGGCAATTCTTACTAACATCTCAGGTGAGCTATCTGGGGCAAAAGCCATTTTTTGTAGCTTTTTTCTGCTATTTGGGGCTGATTGAGTAATAAACTTATCTTTAAGAGTAGTTTGTCCCTCTACTGACCTGGCATCCAGGGAAGTATGCTTTATCAGTGCCTCTTGTCTAACAAAGCAGAGGGGTATTCTCTCCAACCTCCCAGTGCATTGGGATCCCACAGCCACTAAGTGTCCTCTCCCCAACCGTCAACACAGGCGGCCGGAACATGTGGATGAAGTCCTTGGCCCGCTAGTGAGTCTCAGCACTATCAGGTGCGAAGTGTCCCATGCAGGTGACCTAGACATGTACCTTCTCCATGAAGGTGGCTCTACAGAATCTGAATATTGGGCACCCATGTAATCCATGAAGTCTCAGTGCAGACCTCTCTGGAGTTCCACTTGCTCCTCCGCTGCAGCCTGTACGGTTAGGGGAAGAATGGCCTCCAGGGGTGTCTCCCCAGGTATTTTGTGCAAAGTCCTCCCGATTTCCAGCTCCTGAATGGCTCCTGCATCCCCAGTCAACTTGACCTCTGAGTCGTCAGGTGTCGGTACTCTTGTGTTCTCTGAGTCCTTGTTCTTCAGCTGCTCGTCCGCTGACTCCAGACCTTTCTGGCTCTCAAAGGCAGGGC